TGAGGATTATTAGCACCACATTCGAAGCAGGTCTAGAAACAAAAAAATGCTTAAATCATAAAAAGCATTTTCGATTCGAAACAGATTCATGACGGGATCACTTTCCAGGCAGAAGAAACCATCTGGAAAGGTGCTTGTGCTACTCCCATCAGACCCAAGTGTGAACAAAAATAAGGAATCCGGTGGAGCTTAATAGGGTACTCTCTCCCCAAAACAGAAAAAAAGAACAACGAAATGCTCCCAAAATATAGAAAAAAAACAAGAAACTTACATTGTTCTCATTGAGTGGCCGTAGCTCCTTCAGAACTCTCCTTGTGCGAGGACTGGCCATTTCAAAAGAATCTGGTAGAGAAACTAGTATTTACTATAGAAATGATGTCCAAAATGACAACAGTTGTAACACTGAGAAGAAATATGCTATGAAGGAAGAAAGTGGACAGCATAAAATGCAAATCGATGAAATCCATTTTCAGCAGTTCGGAGATGTTGCGATTGGAGCGCGTCAAAGGCTCCTGTTTTATGTTGGTGCAGCTACTATAAAAAGCTATAGGACAACAGAATCCCTTTTCATCGTTCACTTCTCTGAATAGGCCGTGCTTACGGCTCCCAATCATAGCCTTAATGACAGCACCTGATTCGAAATTTCGTCCATTTATGAACCTGTGGTCTTTTTTGTCATGTTCTGAAAACGGAGGCTGAGCTACTTCCTTGAAAAAACTCCACCAAAAATCCATTAGACAGAGACTTGCAACTGAAGGTTATATGCTCCATATTGTGAAGATAACCCCGTGTACCTGGCATTCATACTTCTATCCAGTGTACTGAGCGTACGGCAGCGTGTTTCGGATACTGCCCCGCGAAAGCACAACACACCCGCAAGAACGCTGTCACGCTGCCGTACGCCTAAAACGCTGAGTATGGACGCTTTCTCATATTGTTTTTACTCACACTCACAAATTGTTTAATAACTAAAAAAGAAAGAGTTGGCAATGAATGACAGAAACAGTAGGACGTAGCTGCTTCCATAGTTTCCGTGAGCGTTTTCAGGTGTTTTGGGTGAGAAGGAAAGTGCAACTATCGACCTTTTTGAACGAAACAAACAAAACCCGGCGTTCCTCTCAAAACGTTCAAGGCACTGGATCGATAGGTATACTTTCCTTTTTGCCTAAAACGCTCAAGAAGGCCGGAGAAAGTATGAACGCAGCCCAGTCGGCATTCGATCCGTGCACCACACATTTGCTGCGGCGCCACACGCCGCTGCCTCATCCCTTCCCTATGTGATCACCTACTGAACTGAATGTTTACTTGGAAGTATAACTCGCGACACAGAAACAGCTCTCAATACTAAGACTGACAAAAACATTTACTTTTTATTCACAACAAAACAAGCTAACAAAAAAATTCACAGGAACAAAAACACATGCTGATGCATGAAACCAATTTTACATGCTATCCACAAGAAACAGGAAACTAAGAAGTATGATAAATCGAGAACGTGTGCTCTCGTCTATAAACTCGTAGAAACGAACCGAACTACCAAGTGCAACAAAGCGCATTCATGCTCTGTGAACGTGAAGAGTCAGCTACTTGGGAAAATCGGAGTTTCAAAGAAAAAGCAATTCAGTTCGATGAATTTCCACCTTGTCCTTTGTCACCGAGCTGCCCGTATTAGAGTGCGCTCATTTTTACCTGACAGCTTTTTGAGCGTCTGTCAGCGTTTCTAGCGCTTTGAGCGATTAGGAGAATACTATATGAAGGTTCTCTAAGAGATATTCCACATTCACGAACTATGGCTGCGACCTGATAATACCAAACGAATTAATGAAACGAAACAAAACGATGCAAGGCTCATAACAATGTTACATCCAAGAAAAACAATGATTTCATTCTGCCTTTTTTATGGCTCTAATTAAAAGTTATTTTGGTCCATAGATGATGGATGGAGCATTCACACGAGGGATGATCGCATCTGGTGTCACATATCCTGACAATAGGAATGTTATATCTATTAGTAATTTCATCAAAGTATTCTAGTTAGGATAATGTTCGAGAGACAAAGGAGCTGAAAAAAGCCAAAGACGCATTCATCTGCGCTACTGGAGAATCTGAAAAATCGGAGAATTCGCAAAAGGAACCATGCTACCAACTGACCTCCAAGTCTCTGCCTAATTGGAGTCAATCAATACGTATTTATTCTCCTTCCTTGACTCTCCGATCCTTCGATTCTCCAGTGGAGCAAGGTGAGGTCTTGTTCGTAGCGGATGAATGGGCGTGGCAGGCGGATGGGTTTGGCGCTGATCCAAACCCGTTCTCCACCAGTTATAGAAGCGAGCAAGTGGCAAAAGCTTATCATGCCGTTCGTATCAAACGTGTCCCACCCATGGTTGTCGCTCGCTCGCTTCCACAACTGGTGGACAGTGAGCTGACGTCGTGCCAAAACGAGCCGTCCCTGATAAGCCCAAGTGTCCACAACGAATAGGCCTGTAAACAGCTTAACAAGCTATGATCACTCACTATTTACCTGGCATTGTAGGTGATTTGATGAAAGGCGTGAAGGTCGTACTCCAGAAAATACATTGGATTTTGTTGCAGAAGTACGACTAGGGTGCCTTAAAAAGAACAGTACTTAGAGCATGATAACTTGTTGAAGAGAAAGTGAGTACAACTGTCACATTTCCGCACTTTCTGTACTAAACGCACTACGTCATTGTAATTGCTGTAGTTAAGAGGGTCAACTGCGATGGTACGACAAGTCCCGCTCCTCTACATCCTGATATGAGGCCACACCCGATCGTCTGCGCCCTCTAAGGATGAGCTTTTGAAAGGGAAAGAGTCTACTACTCATCGTTCCTCTGCGTGGTCCTCTCAACTACGGTAGTGTTTAACGTACTTTTGAAGCGACGATGAGCGGCTGAAAACCTCTGCATATGGATTCTGAGCGTCCAGTCTGGAACAAGGTTATTATAATAGGTATCAATCAAGAGCTTCCGAAGAACTTCAGGAAAAATTCTGTTACCCTGTAGGAGTTTTACGTGAGGCACCACCAGAGTTACCAGGACCTTTCTTGCGGAGACCAAGCATTTTTGGTGTCGTCATCTATAAAACTATATGAAGTCGAATACTTAAGAAAGAAAGATCCAGAAAAAAAACAGTGGCCACCTCTGACACAGCGCTGTTGTTTGCAGATGACAGCGGACTGGAGAGATTGTATGCCATGGAACCGAGGGTGCCGCTGACGTCCATATCCGAAGTCTAAAAAGGATTGCTCTGAATCAGTAAAGCTTTGAAAAGATACTCTGGCCCATGAACACAAATATCGCCCTAGCTTGGCATTAAATTAGTAGTGGTCCGTGCACCATGGGGGTGTGCCCCAAAAATTCCTGCCGCGCTGATGCCCGTGGCGCGGAGTTCAGTTTTCACTGTAAACGGAAGGGATATTCGCGTTCAGGGGTACATGCTACTGCCGAGAACAAATATCTGGCCATTCTACCCTGCAAGAGATATATCGTTTAAAAGCTGGTCTGAATGCCGCGAGGCAGGGCAGTGAAGGCTAAATAGCGCCAAATACAAGCGGAAGACCCGTTATGTTAGTACTATTGAGATAGCTGCCAGACTCATGCCCTTATAAAACCAGTCCCATCAAACTAATAAGACTAATTAATCAATGAAAGCTCATGTCAACCATACCGTATGCAAAAATGAAGGGAACGATTGTTCGCCCATATCACTAGTGCCGAAATTATCACCAAGTGAAATAGCTTCTCTAGGCGGTAACTCATCTGAAACACAGGCGGTCGATGGAAACAAATCTGCGAAAATATTCAAAAGAAACCGAGCAATATATTCAGGAACTATATCTTGGAATAAACTCACTGCTGGATATGCTCTCTGAGGTAGCAAATATCTTATTGATATCAGTTTCGCAGCCAGCGTTTCTGAACCTGAAACTTAGCATTCTGGACAATTATGCAGCAGACCTCTAAGCCGCAAATGACAGATGCAGCTGACGCGGCGGCATTACTTCAAGTACACAACCCGCCCTAATTTGAAAAACCTTTTCATTGAACCAGTGGTACTGCAGTAGCAAAGTCTGATGGTCCCAGAGTTTTTTTGAACAGTTTTGTAAACAAGAACCGCTTTGCGGGATCATGGCATTAATATATGCTTCCAATCGAGCAAAAAATATGTACACATTGACTTGACATCAGCTGCCTGTCCCATAAAAAGCTAAAGACAAATTCTACACTCACCTCCGAGGATGGCCCTCCCCATGTGCGAGGCGAATGGGCCGGCAGCTGCAGTCGAGTGTCACTTTCAGCGCACAAAAGCGCACGGGAATGGGGCTTTAGGATGGCGGTAGAAAAGTGCCGTCTAACCTCCGCCCGCGCTATACTCGGTGTGCAGCACTCGCGTCGATACCACGATCCCGCAGCGAAACATACACTCAGCGCTCAAGAACAATCAGGAATGTAAGAGAGCAGACAAGAAGCGCGTTTGGCTATGGTTGGACGCGTGGCTGACCATGCGGTAGCGCGAGCTTGATGTGGAGGCGCACCCTACTACCCTCCGGCGCTGTTTATCGACAGGGGGCATTCTGCTTTTCATAGATTTACCAACCCATCTAGGTACCCTTTTTTCGAGTTGACAGTTGATGGCTAGACGATCTTGCTCCAGCTTCACAAGCGTTCACAAGTTTTACCAGAGTGAGATTTGTAAACCGGAACCAGGGAAGCAATTATAATACAAAATGCCCCCCCCGTCGATAAACAGCGCCCTACCTCAGCCCCGTTCCAGTGCACTTTTGACCGGGAATAGTGGCACACTCTCTGCAGCTACAGACCGATGATCCCTACATGGCGAACACCACGATCTACGATCGTGCACAGTTTGCTTTAACCAAAGAAAGTAGTGAACTGCATAAAGATGACCAATTTGAAATTATTGAAAAACCTGCAAACCTGCTGTTCAGCTTTTTAAGCTCGTCAATTTCTTTTTGCAAACAAGCCTTCTCCTGTTCGTTTTCCTTCAATTTTATTTCAGCAGTGTTAACCCATTCCCTAAGGTCTGCCATTTCTCTGGAAATACAAAAATGTAGATGACTTACTTTGTGAATTAAGTAAACTTTTCCCGGCTCACTTTTCCTTATCCTTTGTCATTTTTGCCTGCTTCTGACAGTACTGCATAAGTTGCTCGAGCTTAGCTCGCTAAGAAAAAAAAAACTTTTTCTGAAGAAAGTAGAAAAGCAGGGAATCATACCTGCTTCTTGAGATGATTCAGCAAGCTGCTCGCAAGCATTTGTTGGAAGTTGTACTTCCTCTTCAGTACAGACAGTTTCTCCGCTATGAGTTGTTTTGGTGGCTAAATAAAGTATCGCTATTAGGAGCGCGTTCATGCATTCTATATCTCAAAGATGGGATGGGCTGCGTACTCCGTTTGAACGTGACAATTTTAATCGTGTTCTCCAGCGGAAGACTCGCTTATGGTTGTCCGAAATATCAACTTCCAAAAAAATCAAAGTTCAAAAGTCCCACCTTATATTTGGAACGTAGTACGCAGCCACGCCCACTCCACCTCCGGGATGTGGAGTTTACTTCGCGACCTGATCTCATAAGTGTTAGAGCGCTGGTGCGCGTTTTTGGGTACACCAAGGTGAGAAAACCTTACATCCCAGTTCCAGTTTCGCCGAAAATCCTAAATTGCTAGCGAAGGACGCCGCATCGCGAATCTCCCAAGTCGCTAGCGACGGGCGCCGAATCTCCTTAGTCGCGATGTATGAACGGGGTTTTATTGGTCGCGAAGCCCCGTGGCGCCCACCAAAAACTGTACCTGCCGGCAACTATATGTACATCAATACTAGCTGTATACCTTGAAAAGATCTTGTAACTTTGGGTCCATCGCCGAATTAATTTCTACTGCTTTCATGACATGCTTACAGATTGTGCACAGAATAGGATCGCCTGCAATTCACAGTGGTGTTCCTCGTGCAAAAAAAAGTTGAAGAAAACAGAAAACATACAGAAAATAGAGTACAGCTGTTGTCACTGAATTAAAACGGTACCTGCTTCTTTCGGTAGACAATTCTTACAAAGTATGTGGAGGCAACTTGTTAGGAAAAAGGTGTTGTCACCTTGGGCAGACGGCTGCTTATAGCAAGAATTGCAGTGCACAAAATCGGCCATATATGAATCACAGTACAATCTGAAATGTGCCTCCTGTATGATGCAAAGGCCGACCACGTACTCCACCATATGGCTGCGTTCATACCGTGCGTCAGCGTTTCGAGCGTTTTCGCGCGCAACTTTGAACTTTTGGCGGGCGTAAGCTCAAAACGCTGCCGCACTCTAGAACGGATACATATGCATTTTTGATTGCACGAAACGCTCGGAACGCTTCCGTACTCTCCAAACCCTGACACCAAAGTACGCAGCCTAACGGTAACCGTTGGAATCCCCGCGTCACAGAGTACCTCAAAATGGGCATCAAAGGGCCAATCGTGAGGCCGAGGGCCCATCGCAGCTCTACGACAGAATCGATACGCAGCTGCACCTTTTCATGCATTCCCCTACTTTGGTTTGTTTGACAATGAGGTGTCGAAGGCTGAGAAGAAGACCTCACACAGTGGATTAGCCCAAGTTACCCATTATTCTTCTACACATCTTACATATCTTTGAGGGCCGGCTCAGGAAGGCGTTGTGCACAGCCTGCAACCTTGCAGAATCGGCGAAACAAGCGCATTTGCGAAAAGACTTTGATCAGGGCACATCATTGGTTGGGGATTGTGGTCAAGTACGACCCCCCCCTTCTTTTACAACGTCCGTGAAGCGAGAAAAATCAACTGCTAAAATAAATTTCTCTCAGCTCAAATACGA